AGCTTTTCAAATAGCTACTTTTAAAATTCAAAGCGCATGCATTTCTGATTATGGTTTCTTTCTATTAAGAATTTTTTGTTAAAGAAAATTTGTCCCTTTTTATTTTAGATACCAAAATTCTAAATTACTTTGCCTTGTAGGTTTAAATTAGGAACCTATGCTAACAAATATGTAACATAATGTACATCAAAGGGAATTATATGTGACAGTTAATATGATACTAAGCAGTGAATTATTAGGACAAAAAAGGGTTTTCACTACTGGTATGTTCATTGTTGTATCAAGCTTAAAGATATCTTAAATAATGGAGTACTTGTATTCTTTATATTCAAAAATTGATTTTTAAAAAATATTCTTACATTTAAATATACTGTGGTACATTATTCTATAAAATTTCTAAGAATATTATCTAGTGTAACAGGGCAAGATAGTGCAGAGGTTCCCCCATTTTGTATTCTTGCTGAGGCCATTTCAGGTTTAACTAGATTTTGATTTCTTTGCTGGAGAATCCCATGGAAGACTACCCAGCTCTATTCTAGGAACCCAAAGTCAGGATGTCCTAGCTAACTTGTGTTAAACTGTTTGCACAGAACTGCCTCCAGCTAACTGTTTGCCTTAGCTTCTGTTAAAACAATTTGCTTCAATCTGCATACTTCTGGGAATTGCCTCTGCAACTACCAAGCGAGATGCTAGGACATGGTTTCTGCCTTTAAAAGCCCCTTGTGAATACTCAGGGTCACATCTAGACTCCCCTGCTCCAACACTTGGGTGTGGTCCCAGACAGCTGGAATACAAACTTTCATATACAAACTGTGTCTAAGTGGTCCCCTCTGGTGGGCTCTCCATAACACTAGTTTTCCATGATTCAAGATGACATCATTTCAGGTTGGACTATATCTATAGTAATCACTACATGTTCATCATTGAGTAAAAGACTCCTTTAAGAACATGGGTGCACAGAAGAAGTAAATGGGAAAGGGGTGCCACTTTAACTGGGAACAGGCAGGGATATTAATATAAAAGGGAGAAGAAGGGAGAAGAGATAATAACACTAGTGATACTTGAAAAATGCACTGAGGAATGTTATTCTAAAAGCATACTTTAAGACATAGTATGTATCTATCTGTCTCTGTCTCTCTCTGTCTGTGTGTCTTTGTGTCTGTCTGTCTGTCTCTGTGTGTGTGTGTGTGTGTGTGTGTGTGTGTGTGTGTAGATGTCATTCTGCAAATCTGTCTTTTATTGGTTGTTGAATCAAGAACTGTTGGCCAATAGGGAAGCAAGATAGGTGGGAGTAGGAGTCAAGGAGAATTCTGGGAAAGAGAGGCAGAGTCAGACACAATGTAGCCTGCCAGAGGAGTAAGAGACCCAGACCCTTTTCTCTGATAAGAGAAATACTTAGATTAACAAATATGGGTTAGATACTTAAGTCAGAGCTAGCCAGTAAGAAACCAAGCAAACGGCCAACAGCTTCATAATTAATATACTGTCTATAGTGTCTTGTGTGTTATTTGGGGGTTCAGACAGCATGGCAGGGCTCAGGCGACCGGCGGGAAAAAAATAAATTGTGTGTGTGTGTGTGTGTGTGTGTGTGTGTGTGTGTGTGTACAGAGTTCAAATGAAGTTGCAGCACTTGAGATGATAGTACTCGCAACATGAGCCAGAGACTGTCTAACAAGACACCCAGGCCAGGTATGAGAAACCTTCTTTGGAGTCATCTGTTATGGAAGAGTCCAAGAGGGCTCAGACAAGATAGTCTGTTGCCCTTGATTGTCACCTAGAAAGTAAAGGCTGGGCTTATTACTGCAGATGCCACACTCTTTAGACACAGAGACTTGGAGGATTCCAGCTACAACTCACTTGAAAGCTTCCTCTCTAATAAATAGGTCTCACAGTATCAGAAGGTACTATGAAAGCTTTTTATAAAGAAAAGTGATCATTAGTCCTGCCTGGCTGTCAAGCCAATGAAGCATAATGACTAGCCTGACAAGATATCTCCAATAGTAAAGTAGTGATCCATGTTTTAAGGATAAACCATCAGCTTTCTAGTTGCATTTAAGATTCACTCATTAGTGAATTCGTTCCTGATACTGTAAACCTAGTCAGCTACCTAGAAGAGAATACTACTGCCATTTGCCTAAAATAATAGAATACCATGTTATATTCTAACAATACTTATCCTTATACCAAGAGATAAATGGGTCTCTCATTCATCATCAATGAAGGTTATTTTTGTAAGCATTTTCACAACTGGTGAAAATACAGAAAATAAATAACCATGAGGTGCTATCCCAAATTGGTAAATCTGTAACACATCCCCTATACCTAAGGCTCAGGAAAACATTGGGGAACTGGGTGTAGCAAGAGCCACAGGACCAGGTTGCCTTGCTGTTAGACATATGATAAGGAAGTTGCACCCATGGATTTTCAACAATTTTTTTCCATAGAAAAGACCTGTATAATGGCAACAACAGTTGATATGCCAGTATGGATGGGGGAAGTTTCTCTAGGTCCCACCCCTAGATAAAGAGCTATAGGCTCAGTGACTGCTGAGAGGGACAAGCTCCCTGGTGACTTATCTAATCCCAAGTGCCATTCCTAAACACATGCCATACTAAATAGACTCTAGGTTTTGTATGTGTATGCATTTGTACCTGTGTGTTTGTGTGTTATATATGGATGTGTGTATATATGTAACAATAATTGAAGAGATCATGAATTTGAAAAGATACGGCATGAGCCATGGTAGGAGTTGAAGAAGGAAGGAGGTATGGACATATTATGAAAATAGTACTCACGTATAGAAATTCTAAAAAATGAAAAAGTTAAAAGTGTAAGTATAGTTTATCAACTATGTTAATTTTTTTAATATTGTGGCTGGAACTTTGTCAGTGTGGTTGTTAAATTCCCCAACCCCAATCCTTGTTTTACTCTTACATTGCATCCATAATTTTGGTGAAATTAAGGAATTGTTTTCCATTTACCAAATTAGGTTTGGCAGACAAGTATATAGAATATAAAATAAATGATCTTTCTCACAATTTTCACAAAAGAACTTTAGAAGGTTAAAAGGAAACTAAATTTAGATGAAGAGTGTGAGGAGAAACAAAAACAAGGAAATTGTCCTGGTGAGGTATTTTTGAAAAGAAAAATGGGCTCGTAACTGGACAGTCCTCAGGGCAGAGAAGGCTGGACATGAGAGTGCAGATCCTCCATAGGTCCACATATATACCACTCGCCTCTCCGTACACTCCAGTAGCCGTTTCTTCAGGGAAACCAATGTTAGAAGACAACAATTCATCTAAGATGTGGTCTACTTGATCATCAAAAATACAAATGGTATCTGTAATGGATTTTATAAATAGCCTAGAATTTGGTTGTAGTTGTTTTTTTTACTCTTTTCAACCTGAGAAACTATGTTCTGTTGATTCAAATGGACATTTATAAATGGATGGAAACATATAGATGCACACATATTATGATAGTAGGAAGTTTTGCACCTCACCCAACAGGCATGAGATTGTCAGGGTGGCCCTGCTGACATTTACTGCTTCACCACTCAGGCCAACTGTTAGCTTTCACATCCTCCTTATTGATATGCACATAAAACATCAGGTGGGCCTTTTTTTTAAAAATTCTAATCATAATTAGAACTGACTGATTTTTTTAATTCACTTTCCCTTTGACTCAGTATGATGAATTCATTTTCCTTAGCAAAAAGGAATTAGATGCCTACTCTATGTCAAGATGTCAAAAGCAGGCCATCACTGACTCCACAGCAACTGGAGCACACATTACCGGGAATGCTATAGAGATGTGGACAGGTAAATTTCCAACCTGAGTAACACGCAGCGAAAGACCGAAGAGGCAATGACTAAGACATGAAGACAAAGAGGAAGGACGTGCCTCCTTATGCTAGGGATAGCATGCAGCAATGCCTTGGGAAGAATTGAGAAAGCCAGAGTGTGGAAAGAGTAGGAAATGTCAAGGCACGTGTTTACAGGTGATAAGGGCTGAGAGCAACTGGGAAGCCATTGAGGAATCTATGTGAAATAATGTAAAGGAGACAATACACTTGCCTTTCTGAAAGACCTCAGGCTGCATTTTGGAGAAAGGGTGATATGAAGGCTTGAACAGTCACAAGAGAACCTAGGGTGATTGTATACTCACCATTATTTGAGAAGTAATATGTACATATTTTAAAAAGATAATAGTGTTTTTCTTTTTAGAGAAATAACTTAAATAAAATTATTTTAAGAGAATACCAAAATATGTATTATTTTCTTTTTAGGTCAGCAATTTAAATAAAATTATTCACCACAAATACTGAATTGTGCTTTCTCAAGCATTTTCCTAGAGATTCTCAGTCACACAACTGGCAAATACACTGTTTGATCTTTGGCAGTCTGGTGGTATGTGATTCAAAACATTGTTCACAGAGCAGTGGGAATGAAATAGACAGTCTTAAAGTAACTTGTATATTTTAAGAATAACAAGTATAGGATGCCTGACCAAAAGGAACGGCCCAGGTAAGGATGGAGGCAGGGAAGGGCAGGCAAGTTCAGAGAGTTAGTAGGGACCAAACCCCCTGGAAGGATAAGCTGGGGTCTCATGGGGAGCCTTAAAATGCTAAAAATATTCTACATTTGTTGGGCAACCGGGCAACCCTGAATGTTTTAAGCAGAAAATGAACAAACGAGTCACTTCTACGGTGGCAGGTTGTTCCCTTCACTTTTTCTTCTTGGCACACACCTGATTTACTTCTTCAAGCCTTCTCTGCAGGACTTCATGGCTGTGTTTGATAAGTGGAATCTAAGAAGTACCAGCTCTCTAACAGCTTATAACCCTCTGTTCTCGGGCCTTATCAGAAAAATAAGAGTAACACTATTTCATTTTGAATAGGAGTTGATTCAAACCCTATGACATCTGAACTGCACTTTGAGAAGTATGGTAACATGATGTTTACTTCACCCATTAATAGATTGACTTTCTCTAACAAACAGACCAGTTCATCAACAGAGGGGGAGGCAGCATCCGGAACAATAGAAGTCAAGATGTCTGCCATATTGCCTTTGGATCCAGGGTCCTTGGACCACCACCACTCTCTGGCAGACGGAATAACCTGAGGCTCTCCAGTGAGGTGGGTGAAAGGTTTCAAGAACTTACTCAAGCAAAGGCAGGGGTTAGTGACATGTGGGCTATTGTAAGGAAAGAAAGAGCTGACTGTATGCTTAAAACAGACTTACATAAATTTACAACAGGAAGTTTAGATCTTAAAAGACTTCAAAATTGTTTCTGTTCTGTCATGTCAACATAATTAAAAATTTTGAATAGTCTTTTTATTAAACATGTTGCTTATAAGCAAATATCTATAAATGTATTTTACCTTCTCTGTCAAAAGAAATGTTGGATGTAGACTAGTACCCATACCAGGTACAGATTCCCAATGGTCTGCTTTTTACTTATTTTTTATTTAAATTAGAAACAATCTTATATATCAATCCCACTTCCATCTCCCTCCCATCCTCCCATGTTCCCCACAGACCCCCATCCCTTCGCTCTTCTGTTCCATAGAAAGGATGAGTCTTCCATGGGAGATCACCAAAATCTGTCACATCATTTGGGGCAGGGCCTAGGCCCTCCCCTGTGTATTAGGCTGAGAGAGTATCCCTTCATGGGAGAATGGACCCCCAATGTCCAGGGATAGATACTATTCACTATCAGAGGCTCCATAGACTACCCAGGCCTCCTAACTGTCACCCACATTCGGGGAGTCTGGTTCGGTCCTACACTGGTTCTCCAGCTGTCTGGCTGGGGTCCATGAGCTCCGCCTTGTTCCGGTCAGCTGTTTCTGTGGATTTCCCCAGTCTGTTCATAACTCCTCCATCTCTGCAACTGGATTCCAGGAATTGAGCTCAGTGCTTAGCTGTGGGTCTCTGCTTCTGCTTCTAGCAGCTACTAGTTAAAGGCTCTATGATGGCATAAAAGGTAGTCATCACTCTCATTATAGGGAAAGAGCATTTAGGATAGTGCCTTCACTGTTGCTTAGAATCTTAGTTGGGTCATCCTTGTATATCTCAAATATTTTCCAAGTCAGATTTCTCTTTAAATCTATAAGGGCTCCCTCTATTGAGGTGTCTCTTTCTTGCTCTCCACTATTCTTCCCCTGACTCAATCTTTCTGGGTCCACATGTCTTCTTCCTGCCTCTACTTCTTCCCTTCTCTTTCTCCTAACTCTGTCTCCCCTCCTCCCAAGCTCTCAATTTGGTCAGGAGATCCTGTCCCTTTCCCCTTCTCCAGGGTACCCAGTATGTCTTTCTTAGTGTCCTCTTTGATTCCTAGCTTCTCTGGAAGTGTGGATTGTAGGCTATTAATTCTTTGATCTATGTCTAATATCCATATATGAATGAGTACATACCATGTTTGTCTTTTTGTGACTAGGTTACCTCAATCAGAATGGTTTCTTCTAGTTCCATCCATTTGTCTGCGAATTTCAAGATTCCATTGTTTTTTTTTTCTGCCGAGTAATACTCCATTATATAAATGTACCATATTTTCTTTATCCATTCTTCAGTTGAGGGGCACCTAGGTAGCTTCCAGATTCTGGCTAGTACAAATGCTGCTATGAAAATAGTTGAACGAATATCCTTTTCGTAGGAATGTTCATCCTATGGGTATTTGCCTAAGAGTGGAATTGCTGGATCTTGTGGTGGACTGATTCCCATGTTCCTGAGGAACTGCCATACTGATTTCCAAAGTAGCTGTACAAATTTGCACTCCCACCAGCAGTGGAGAGTGTTCCCATTTCTCCACATCCTCTCCAGCATGAACAGTCTTGGGTGTTTTTTACTTTAGCCATTCTGACAGGTAAAAGATGACATCTCAGAGTTGTTTTGATTTGCATTTCCCTATTGGCTAAGGATGTTGAGTACTTTCCTATGTGTCTTTCAGCCATTGTAGATTCCTCTACTGATAATTCTCTATTTAGTTCTATAACCCAATTTTTAATTGGATTGTTGGTGTTTTGGTAACTAACTTCTTGAGTTCTTTGTACATTTTGGAAATAAGCCCTCTGTCAGATGTGGTGGTGAAGATCTTTTCCCATTCTGTAGGCTACCATTTTGTCCTGTTGACTGTATCCTTTGCCTTACAGAAGCATCTCAGTTTCCGGAGTTCCTATTTATTAATTGTCAATCTCAGTGTCTGTGCTACTGGTGTTATGTTCAGGAAGCAGTCTCTTGTACCAATTTGTTCCAGGGTACCACCTAGTTTCTCTTCTAAGAGATTCATTGTGGCTGGATTTATGTTGAGGTCTTTGATCCATTTGGACTTAAGATTTGTGCATGACAATAGATAAGGATCTATCTGTAGTCTTTTATATGTCAGCATTCAATTATGTGAGCACCAATTGTTGAAGATGCTTTCTTTTTTCCATTGTATAATTTTAGCTTCTTTATCAAAAATCATGTATTTGTAGGTGTGTAAGTTAATATTGGGGTTTTCAATTTGATTCCATTGGTCTGCCTGATTATTTTTGTGCCAATACCAAGCTGTTTTCAGGACTATAGCTCTATAATAGAGTTTGATGAAGGCATCACTATCCCTCAGGAAGTTCCATTATTGTACAGGGTTGTTTTGGCTGACCTGGGTCTTTTGTTTTTTCCATATAAAGATGATTATTATTCTTTCAAGGTCTGTGAAGAATTGTGTGGTATTTTGATGGGGATTGCATTGAACCTGTAGATTGCTTTTGGCAGTGTTGCAGTTTTTACTATGTTGATCCTACCTTCCAAGAGCATGGGAGATATTTCCATTGTCTGGCATCTTCTTTAATTTCTTTGTCTTTGTGTGACTTGGGTACCAGGTAATTATACATACCATCTTTAAAAGAGTTTGGCAATGACCCTTCTGCATCTATTGTGTAGAATTCTGCAGTGAACCATCTGTCCCTGGGCTTTTTTTTTTTTGGTTGGGAGTCCTTTGATAATTGCTTCTATGTCATTAGGGGTTATAGGTCTATTTAAATTTCTTATATGTTCTTGATTTAATTTTGGTAAGTGGTATCTATCCAGAAAATTGTCCCTTTCCTTTAAATGTTTGAATTTTGTGGAGTACAGGTTTTCCAAGTATGACCTGATGATTCTCTGGATTTCCTCAGTGTCTCTTGATATGTCCTCCTTTTCATTTATGATTTTGTTAATTTGCATGTTCTCTCTCTGACTTTTGATTAGTTTGGATAAAGGTTTGTCTATCTTATTGATTTGATTTTTTTTTTTTTGGATTTCCTAGGTGTCTGTTGGTATGCCCCTCTTTTCATCTCTAATTTTGTGAATTAGGATATTCTCTCTCTCTGCCTTTTAGATATGAATTTGTTTATCTAGTTTTCTCAAAGAACCGACTCTTTGTATTTTTATTCTTTGTATTGTTTTCTTTGTTTCTACTTTATTGATTTCAGCCCTTACATTGATTATGTCCTGGCCTCTACTCCTCTGGGGTGAGTTTGCTTCTTTTTGTTCTAGAGCTTTCAGTTGTGCTGTTAATTGTCTAGTGTGACTGTTCTCCAGTTTTTTCATGTGGCCACTTAATGCTATGAAATTTCCTCTTAGCACTGATATCAAAGTGTTTCATAAGTTTGTGTATGTTTTGTGTTCATTCTCATTGAATTGTAGGCAGACTTTCATTTCTTTTTTTATTTCTTCCTTGACCCAGGAATAGTGCAATTGTTGCATTGTTCAATTTCCATGAGTTTGTAGGGTTTCGGGAGTTTGAGTTGTTATTGAATTTGAAGTTTAAAGCATGGTGATCCCATAAGATACTAGGGATTATTCTAATTTTTTGTACCTGTTAAGGTTTGCAATGTTGCTGAGAGTGTGCTTGGCTTAACTCCTGTTATTTCTTTGGTTCTTTGTTAAGTTTCTGTCTGATAGTCCTGTCTAGTGGTGAGAGTGTGGTGTTGAAGTCTCCTACTGTAAGTGTGTTGGGTTTAATGTGTAATTTCAGTTTAAATAATGTTTCTTTTATGAATGTGGTTGCCTTTGTATTGGGGGCATAGATGTTCATAAATGAGACTTCATTTTGATGGATTTTTCCTGTGTTGAATATGAAATGACCTTCTTCATTTCTTTTGATTGATTTTAGTTTGAAGTCTAATTTGTTAGATATTAGGATTATTGCACCTGTTTGTTTCTTGGGTCCATTTATTGGAAAATCTTTTCTTAACCTTTTACTCTGAGGTAATGTCAGTCTTTAAAGTTGAGGTGTATTTCTTGTATGCAGCAGAAGGATGGATTCTGTCTCTGTATCCATTCTATTAGCTTGTGTCTTTTTGTAGGTGAGTTAAGACCATTGATATATAGGGAAATTAATGACCAATGATTGTTAATTCTTGTTTGTTTGGGTTTTTTTTTGCTATTGTTGGTATTGTGTGTGGATTTTGCCCTTTTCTTCTTTTGGCTTCTGGTAAAATGGATTATCTATTGTCTGTGTTTTTGTCAGTGTAGTTAGCTTCCTTGGGTTGGAGTTTTTCTTAAAGAACTTTCTGTAGGACTGGATTAGTAGATATGCATTGTTTAAATCTGGTTTTGTTATGAAATATCTTGTTTTCTCAATCTATAGTGATTGAAAGCTTTGCTGGGTATAGTAATCTGGGCTGGCATCCGTTGTATCTTAGTGTTGGTAGAATACCTATCCAGGACCTTCTGATTTTCAGCGTTTCCATGGAGAAGTCAGGTGTAATTCTAGCTTTATATGTTACTTGGCCTTTTTCCTTTGCTCCTCTTAATATTCTTTCTTTATTCTGTATGTTTTGTGTTTTGATTAATATGTGGTTGTTGGCTTTACGGATGCTGTAACGATACGCGACACACACTTACGGAAAGTGAAACTAAGTATTTTATGTAGAAAATTACTCACAAGATGCCAAACCCCGAGAAGCCCAGCAGATCTCAGCTAGCGACTGGACCGGAAGCCGAACTCCAGGAAAAGAGAGCGAGACTTCCTGTGCGCTGTCTTTTATGCCTTCCCCGTAACGCCCCCTAGCCATGCCCAAAAGTGGGCTTGGCTAGTGACGTAGTTCCGCCTACGTATGTATACGTCTTCACGTCCAGCCGTATACGTCTTTAGTCCTGCCTAAAGTGGGTGTGGTTAGCGGTGTGGTAAACCGCCCTTTTATTACCTCATCTGTATGCGCCTCTAGTAAGTCACATGTTTAATGGCGGCATAGACTTAGTAAGTCACATGTTTAATGGCGGCATCAGACTTCCTCCTACATGTGGTGAGGTGACTTTTTTGTGGTCTACTATATTTGGTGTTCTGTAAGCTTTTGTACTTCCATTGGCATGTCTTTCTTTAGGTTGGAAATGTTTTCTTTTATGATTTTGTTGAATATGTTTTCTGCACCTTTGAGGTGGGTTTTTTCACCTTCTTCTATACCTATTATTCTTAGATTTTGCCTTTTCATGGTGTCCCATATTTCCTGGATATTTTATGTTAGGGAACGGTTGGACTTGAGATTTTATTTGGTGGATGAATCTTTTTCTCCTATTGTGTCTTCAACACCTAAAATTCTCTCTTCCATCTCTTTTATTCTGTTGGTTATGCTTGTATCTGTAGTACTTGATCATTTACCTATAGCTTTTCTATTTCCAGCAATCCCCTAGACTGTTTTTTTTATTGTCTCTATTTCAGCTTTCAAGCCTTGAACTGTTTGAATTGTTTTCTTTGCTTGTTTGGTTGTTTTTTCTTGGCTTTCCTTGTTTTCTCTAAGAGATTTGTTTATTTCTTACATTTTTGGTGTGTTTGTTCCTCCATTTCTTGAATTTTTGTTTGTTTTTTTTTCTATTTCTTTAAGGGATTTTTTTTCATTTCCTCTTTGAGGGTCTCTATCATCTTCATAAAGTTCTTCTTAAGGACCTTCTCTTCTTCTTCATCTGTGTTGGGATGCTCATGTCATGCTGTTATAGGATCTCTAGACTCTGGTGGCATTATATTGGTCTTTCTGTTGTTGAATGTGTTCTTATACCATCATGATCCTATATCTTCTTCCAGTGGGTGCAGGTGGGGTCTCTCCTTCTCCTGGTGGGTATGGGTCAAGGTTCTCTTCTGGTGGGTGCAAGCAAGTCTAATACTCCAATGGCTCTCCTCTTCCCCTGGGTAGTGGTGATGTAGGCAGACTCTGGATTGCTTGGTATACGGGAATGGGTTCACCCATGTGCAGCTCCAGGCCAGGAGAGCCCAAGAAGGGCAAGTGTAGGACTGGCTGGAACAGGCCCACGCTCACCCTTCCCTGTGGTTGGAGGTGGAACTAGCATCAGGATGTAGGTAGCTCTGGATGACTTTGGTCGCTGGGATGGGTTCACCAGTGGGCAGTGCCCAGGCCAGGAGAGTCCGAGAAGACCAAGTGGAAAACGGGCTCCTTTTTATTTTTAACTTCCTTAAATCTTTGTCTTCCTTGGTGATTCTTACTCATCTATTTGTTGCAGGCAGGCATAGCTCATCAGACATTTTAATTTTTGTGACTTGAAGACCTGCTTGCCTGCTATTCCATTTCATGTTCTTTTTCTCTTTCCACTTCTAGTTTTCTTTGGTTTCCCTTCCTATTACTTTTTAGGTGCAGTTAATCTGGCTTTGTCTCACTTACTTTTCCAAGACTTTTCCTATATGGACTCTATAGAGATTAAATTTAATTGCTTTATTTTTAAACATGCATATCAATTCCTTTTCCTTATAGACAGTAAGATCTGTTGGGTACAAAAATAGCCAATTGTGCCAGCAGCCTTCAATAGAGAAGCATGTTAACACCGCACAAGTGTCAGCCTTGCTGATACCTGAGTCTGAGCAGCAAGCAGAGAAAGGAAATATTCACCAAGTGAAAAAGATCATGCCTGGTAAGAATCATCTAGAAAGTAAGAGTCAGTGGAAAATAGTGAGAGGTGTTCTTATTGAGATAATCAAACAGTATTCAAGACAGGGATAAATGCAGAAAAGGACCGTTCAACATTGAATCAGGTGGTGTGTGTTGAAATACTTACATGCATATTTGTCTGCTCTGTTATTTTGTTTATTCTATTATTTCAAATAATAGTCCTGGTTTTTATTTCTGATAAAGATGCCAAAGTAAAATAGTATCTCATTATCATTTTATTTTGGAAATTCTGTTTTAAGTTTTCTTGGTATAATTTCAGTTTCTGTTTGTAGAAACTTTATTTTCTGTGCTCTTCATTTTCTCTCACTGATGTAAAAAACGACCCTGTAGAAAGCCTTTTGTCCCATTTCAGATTGAGAGCACAAGTCCAGCAGAGAAGCAAAGTGATTTGTAGCTTGTATTTATTAGGAAAACAGAGAGCAGAACCCAACTCTGAATTGTTTTCTAACTTTCTGCCCTTCTTGTTCTGAATAAGAAAAGGGAGAATTAATTTTACTTGAGTTAAAAATGCATGCTGACCACTAAGAATAATATGGTCCATGGGGATAACAGATGCATAGAAACATAAGTAACATAGCTATGTAGTCCTGGTTTTGCCAGTGATTGTCTGTGAAGCCTAGTTTAAACTTCTTCACCCTTCGAACCTCAGGTATCAAATTATACTTTAGAATCCTTCTCCAGTTTTGATCTCCGCTCACCATGCATCTTTAGAAAACTCCTTATTCTGCTACACTTCCTCTTTATAAGAAAAGGATCTTTCTGTCAATTTCATGTTTTATACTTTTAAATATAGCATGTTGTATGAATAACATCAACCGTACTTCTTATAGCACTCTATTCTTTGGATTAAATTCATTACTCATATAGAAATTCCAGTGTTGAAATAGGAATTAACACCTATTTTCTGTAAAGGACTGAGTGTCTTTTATATGGCCTCAAATTACATCAAAATGAATATTCTAATTATAGTGATTAAATGTATTTACTGCATTATTTGAATGAATATAGTACTTTCTGTTCTGGCTTTTGTTCTCTGGTATAGAAATTTACCAACCTGTCTGCCTATTCTGTACCCACATCCCCCTCAACAACCATCAGCAGGTCAGAGCAACAACAGGAGAGCTCCCTTGAAGAGCGCCAGTGGAGAAAAGAAAGAGGCACACTGTGGTATGACACCATGCAATCCTATCTCAGAGCTGTGTATTATTCAAGGCAGTGGGATCTCTCTGCAGGTTGTGCATTTCAAATGATTATGAGCCAATTCATTTAAAATATAAATGTCTGTTCTGTGGGGATTATGGTAATCAAATTTTCTGCAAAAGTATTCCTCTAGAGTCTGTCCTAACAGAGACAAGATAGATTCAATAGACAGGAACTCAAAAATGCAGGAACCCCTCCCTTTACTCAGGGCTGAAGAAAGCTTAAATTACTGCTTCTGTTGTTCCTAAAAGAGACCCAAAAGTAATAGAGGAAATTTCTGCCTCAAGTCTTTACCCAAATCAAACCTTATTATCATTCTTCAGATTTAATTTATATTTTCTTTTAAAGTAGGCTCTTTCAGAACTCGTATTATACTGCTGTGCCTCCCTTTGGAGTCTCTGCATATGATATGATGCATTTTCAAACATAAACATTTCCACACTTAAGCATTAGATTAATGTAAGTGAGTGCTGTAGCTATCCCTTTAAAGATGGGATTTGAGGCATGTTTATGTAGATTTTACAATGTTTATATTAGTCTATTCCTTTAAAGAAGGAATTTGAGGCTTGTTTATGTAGATTATATATGATATATATATATATATATATGTCTATTTTGAATCAAACCCAAGTTTGTAGGAAATAAATCTGTTAGCACAATTTCCCAAAATGCTAAGATTCAGTCTTCCAAGTCTTGTGTTGTTCTTATCAAGGCTGGGTAGAAAAAGTACTTCTGCAGTAACACCCACATCCATTTTCTGAGGGAGATGAAGGAAAGGGCTTGCATTAAAAAAATTACAATTTAATTCTGTTATGGAATCCAAGAAAAAATATAGAACACCTTTAAAATTATGTGAGTTTGGGAATTCTTTTTATTATATACTGTAAAATTTAAATCTAAAATGTCCTTGTGTAGATACCAAAGCCTTTTAAGGTAAAGCTCTACAAAATGCAACAGAGATCATCTTAAAACATTCAACTATTTTAACAAAATGTACAGGAACCATCATAATACTTCTCATTTCCTTTTAAATAATTAAATGAAAAAATACAAAATCAATACCTTCAAAACAACTTTTTACAAATATCAATAAAGTAATACAGTGGAAATATCTCTTCCAATAAAGGTAGTGCCTCAGGAAATAACTGGAATGAAGAGGAAGTAGTCGCCACCCTCAACAGCATCCCGCAGCCATGGACAGAGCCAGTGACCTCCAGCACTCCAGAACCACAGGCTCCTCACCAGCCAGGTTAGCACCCTTAGTTGTCACCAAATTTTACTGGAAATTTTGAGAAGTCCTACCACTGTTGTCACCTGTTACCAGGAAAATTAGGGTACCCTGTTGAGGTTGATAGATTTTATTAATAAAAGTATTTAAGAATGAACACAAATGGAAAGAAAGTTGGAGACAGTTTTCCTAGGCTTTGAAAGAAAAACCCCAAGGAAGACAAGCTGTAACCCTCAGCAGCCCCTCGGTGGAGAGGGATAGAAAAGAGAAGGAGAATGGCCTCGATGTTTGAGTTAAGACGCCTTGGAGTTTGAGTAATTGGTAGACAAGTGGCCTCATAGTGCTAGGGAATAGGAATTCTGGAAAGGAAAAGTGCAGTCTCTAATTAAATGGTGAATTATTCCACCTCTGTCTTTGTCATGGCTTAAGGTGGACTCACCTCTCTAGGGGGTGGGAGGTCCTTCCTTCCTGAGAGCTGATCCCTTAGCCAGATGACTGCCCTGCACATATGGCTTACTTCTTTTATATTTTGGGTGGCTTGGAATGCCAGGCCTCCAACCAGGCCAGGGAAATAGCCTTCCTTAATTTGTCTCCACTGAATTCTTCCTTTAAGCTACTGTAACCCAAATATTTCAAACTCAGTCATTTCAAAAGAGGATACAATCATTTGCTAAAATTCGTCATATCTTGTGGATCTCCCTTTTCATTTTCAATTTAATATCAGACATTAATGGATAAAAGAGTATTTTAATAGCCCAGTTGTCCCATTTAAAATAAAAATTTAAAACGTTGAAGCCTTGCCCTAACACGGAGCCCTCTTCCAAGCCCATGGTGTTGTATTCCCATCACTGAGCCCATCAACATAGCTTGCCTACCAGGTGTTTGCCACTTTTACAAAGGCAAATTGTTTTTGAGCAAGGGAAAAAGGAAAGTAAATGAAAATTGTTTGTAGTTTGTCAGTCTTATTTATGCAGTGTTGAAACCTTCATTAAAATGTTAGGCGCAATTAGTGTCTCTAGCATAAATCTGACTGTGTAGAAAAACTAATTAGATGTTTAGGTGATCATTCTTGCATTTATCTTGTTTGCTGAAATATTGTGATTACACAGTAATTTACATAGTTTTCTAAGAAAACATACCAAATTATTCATTACAATTGATATGGAAATACTTGAGGTAAGAGTGCAATCTCTGGTAAGCTGGTGGCAGGGAGGTATTTGGTATACCTTGGTGTCAAACACCCTCTTACTTCGACTTTTTGGCAGTTAATAATGTTTTTCAAGTAGGTCATGAGAAACTGTCTAACTGAATAGTGAAGATTCCCAGAATCCTTTCTGTTCCTTTGCTTTATGTATCCATGTTCATAACAAAGCAATTGGCTTTTATAATCACTTTCAGCCTTTAGGTTTTGCCCATGAAAGTTGTATAAAACGCCAGGTATATATGTATATAAAACAGGCATATAAATCAAACATCTGTGATAATAAAATTTTAAGAAGCAAATTATTTTCTAATAATTGCTCAATATGTTTGTAGAAATGTATCTATAATTTTACCATTTATTAGACTGGAAGGGAAATTCAAATACTATTGAGATGGATGGTGGACAGATATGTGATTTAAGACTAAGAGTGTCATCAACCTTTTTCAGGGCTGATTGATACTTTTGTATTTATAATTGTCAATGCTGAAAATGCTATTTCACATAAACACATGATACATATATGGAGAACAGACAAAGGGCTGAACAAATTTAGGACAACATGGTCCTTATTTGGGAGGAACCCTGCAAAAGGGTTCCTGAGTGTAAGACTCAGATCCTGTGTACAGAGTGTGTGGTCACAGGACTATACAAGAAAAGAAGATTGACATGTTTCCTTTCTTAGCCTGCACTTAGCCACTGCTGCTGGTAGCTGGGAGATATGGTGTCCAGTGGGGTGAAGAATACCAGACCACTAACAGACATCTCTTATGGTCAGTTGTTTCTGGGATCAATAGGCCAGGGAAACAAGAATCTAAAAACCAAGTTGGAACCAAGTTATTTTAGTTCTGGGAATTGCAGTTGTTTCCACAGCGAAGGCACTTTACCGATGGCTTGGTCACAGCTAACAGCATAAAAGGGCTGTCATAAGTTACTGGAAACTTTGTCTCAATCCTGAATCACATTTCATTCAGTGATTCCTAATTGTTAAACTCAAGCCAACAACTCAAACAGTAATTTTGTTTTTCCAGACAGAGTTTCACTGTACCTTTCGAGCCTGTACTGGAACTCCCAGAGATCTGCCTGCCTCTGCCTTCCAAGTGTTGGGATTAAATGCATATGCCACCACTGCCCAGGTTAAACAGTAATTTTTTTTAATTTAACGTTCTGAGACAAGACATGGTGGCACATGTCTGTATAATTACTAGCCCTCCAGAGACAGAAGTAGGTGGATCTCTGTGACATATAGTTCAACCTGGTCTACACAGTGAGTTCCAGACCAGTCAGGGCCACATAGAGAGACTGTCTTTTAAAAAAAAAAGTGGGAGAGAGAGAGGAGGGCAGGTGATGGTGGCATATACCTTTAATCCTGGCACTTGGGAGGTGGAGGCAGGAAGATTCCTATAAGGTCAAGACCAGCTTGGTGTACAGAGTGAGTTTCAGGACAGTCAGGGATTCACAAAGAAACCTTGACTCAAAAAAGTACCAACCTAATACTTAATTCTGAGGAATGACAGTAAGAAAATTGAAATATCTATTTTACATAATTATTATTTGTCTAAAAGAACAGAAAAGTAGCTGGGCAGTGGTGGCTCTAACCTCTAATCCCAGCACTCAGGAGGCAGAAGCAGGCAGATCTCTTTGAGTGCAAGGCCAGCCTGGTCTACAGAACTAGTTCTAGGATACCTAGGACTGTACAGAGAAGCCCTGTCTCAAAAAAAATAAACAAACAAACAAAAACACAGAAAACTTTGTATGCCGAGTAAAAACACTACAATTCACAGTGGTCTCAAATCCAAGTGTTTCAGACAGTGTTTGCTTGAATTGTGGTATGATTATGGTGTGATGGTGTGTACAGCGCATGTGTGTGTTCAGCATTGGGCTGCAATAAAGCCACACCATGCAACATAAGTGAGTACCATCAAAAACACCTGGAATTCATTGTGTGTTGTGTTTTGAATTAGTTTGTAACTTTTGCCTAATTCAAAATCTTTTTACTGTTAACCAAAAGTTTTGCAAATTTTTGTACAACCCAGGGTTGGAGACATTGTTTCAGAGTTAACACTAGACTTTCTAGTGTTGCTAATATGTGTCTAGCCCTGTGCAGAATGGGTTTGCTGCCCCAAATAGGAGTTGTTTATTTCAGCTTTCCACCCTGAATCAGACCACCTATACCCCTGGACAGGTGTGAGATAAAGTAGCTTCAGGCTGTTCTGGACATGAACTAGAAATACAAGTCTTGCTCTATCATATTTTGTCAATACCTTTACCTCCCAGTCATTTTGTGTAGCAAGTCCATGGGAAGTAACTGATGAATACAGTCTTGAGCTATTTAACATTTGTGCCATCAGTGTCGTTTTGTAAGACATTTCTGGGTCTTGTTTTTAAGAGTGTAGGCTTTGTAGTTGGCGAATCTTACACGTCATGTGTTTACCTTCATTGTGGTCATAACTGTAATAGATTAAAGGTTCCTGCATAAATTATTCCATTCACATCAGGGCTGGGCAGAACACATGCAAGCCCCACCACTGAAACAATTCAGGAAGAAAAGGTGCTTTCAAAGGGCTTTCTTTCTCCTGCAGTCTTCCTAAGGAAAGGAAGCAAGCTTTGCCTTTAACTGCATTTCCTGTAAACATTGTCCTGTCACATCGCCTAGATCATAGTTATAATACCTACTCCAATGTGGTATAAAAGATGAAAGGTTTTTTTAAAACATTTGATAAAAATTTCTCTCAGCAGTCATATGCAGAATTTTTAAATAAAGGAAATAATATGAAAATTATATCAAAACTTCTATAGATTAACAACATTCCCGTAGCTTTGGAGTTGCTTGCAGTGGCTTCTCAGTTTAATCTGTGAATTATTGCAATCAGCAAGAGGCAGAGAAGTAGACTGTCAGTCATCCTTCCATGGTTTCCTTGATTCATAACCCACACAATGACCAGATGGTCTATTTAAAAAAGCTTGTTCTGTGCTGTACTGTCTTCCTGCAGTAAAAAGGGATGTATTAGTAACTCAAACCCTTTTAAATTTGGACAGCTTCCCTCCCTGGTCAAATTAATGAGGTTGTGCTATAAAGAACTTGCTGCAAGACAGGTGATAATTATTTCAGACTTACAAATTTCCTGGCCAGGGTTTCAACTCAAATGGAGAGGAAGTGTAAATGAGTTGCCTGTGGCTGTGGGCACTGTTCTGTGGGGAACTGTTTAGCAAGACTCAAGATAGTGGGGAAAATACCTCCCCTTGTTTCTGCCTTATTTGATAAATCTCTGTTTCAAAAAGAAATGTTAATCTAATCACCTAAATGAACATTTAATGGAACACAACTCTTACTGTTATCATCTCTCCCCAATATCAGATGAGTGGATATTTCCTGAAAATGCTGCTCTGACTTGTGACCCAGCATGTGGCAGTCAGTCTGTGCTCCTAGATGGGGACTCATGCATTGCTTCCCACCTGTGGCTAGAAACCAGCAAGGACAGTGAATCTGACCAGGCAGAGGAAACCCAGATGACTCCCAAGGACGTTTTCACCTTTTCATCTAGACCAAGATCAGCACCTCATGGGAAGAGTGATGATATGTCCCCAAAGGGGTGCCCACTTATTCTGAACCCCAAAGAGGACAACAGTCTTACAAGGAGAGATGCCCAGTTGGAAGACGATTTTTATGGCACTGACAGCAGCGAAGAGGTACATGACTTGATGAATAAAGTAGGCTTAAAGCACAGTGTCCCATTTGTGCCAATAAGCATTGAAAGGAGGTTGGAGTGAAAGAGTGGGAATCAATTGCTATTTATAAAAATGCACCAGATTGCTATGTCACTCAACAGTTCTATCGTGTTGTTATGGTAACTCAAAATTTCTGGATTTTTATTTATTATTAACAGACAATTTCATGTTTAATTATGAAAGCCAATTTTTTAGTTGTTTATGTTTTTTCATTTTAATCTTTGCCTCACAGAATTAGAAATAATTTATAGTTGAGTACATGATAGCAAGACCACTGAAAATCTGACAGCCCACTGATTAGGGTCTCTGGGGGAAGCAGTGATGTGGTTGCTAAGCATTCGGGATTGACACTTTTCTGGCTCCTTCTTCACTGCCATCTTTTCACCTTAGACCTATTAGGACTCATTATTTTCCATATGGTCCTAGAATTTCAAGAGTTATGCCAATTAAAGTTTAGATAATGAATCATGAATTAGTACTGGGACCCTCCTTACAGGAGGTGTTTGTCTGGAATTATTTAGAATATAAATATATTCTATATTAGTAAACTGATAAAGTTTTCTTATAAATATGTTGAAACTCAAACTGAATATGGCTTAGAAATATTTGCTTAAAAACTAATTACTACAGCTTTATCTCTGTGAAGTTAATCACCCATGTGTGTGCATATGTGTGTACAGATGTGGTTTGTGTGTGTTCGATACACTTGTGTACAATGCATGTAGAGGCCTCAGATATCATTTCCACCACTTTTTTCTCTCTGAAGCATGGTCTGTTACTAGCCTGGCGCTCACTAAATAGGTTATGCTGGCAGGGTTTGTGTACAGTGTGTTGTAGATTATATCCACACCTCTATGAGCAGTGCCAGCCAAGAATATGGGGGTATTGTTTAAGGCTTTCACAGTAATTATGGGGTTTACATTTTCTAATGAATTTTGTTAACAAAATGTATATAGGATCCTTTTTATATAATATCCTGGCTTCTGCATGTGCTGAAGTAACACATGATGCTGTAGTGTATTTCATGCCACCATGTTAAATGTTGGACATGTCTATGTCTTTTGCCCTTAAATCATTAAGCTGTAAAAATTATAAAATAGATTTTATCTTCATTATCTAATAGGGTTTCCATCACTTCTGAGGTATTATTTGGCAAAACTTGTTAGTTTATTCTTAACATTACGTACTTGTAAGGAATAGGATTATGTCTTTCCAAGGAGCACACAGTACCATCTTTCTTCTCTAACCCAAAAGACGTACTTTAATAGTGGAAATTTCCTGACAGACGAGAAATGGCAGTTCTCTGGGAAACAATGAAAGTAGTTTTATGAGGACTACCCTGGAAAGAGCATGTCATGAGGAACTTAGCTATCCCTCATGTTTTGTGGGAAAAGGAAGACTTTCAGTTCTGTAGTTTGTATTTTATACCACCCATGTGCTTTCTTTTTCTACTATCTCTTCTACTTCTGGTGCCCTTCAGTTTTTATTATACAAAAATGTATTTATTAATAACTAACTAATCAAATGGAAAATAAGTTCATCATGCATTCACCCCAAACTCTAACTGCATAGCAGTCTGCTTACCCTCTGCCATGCCTGTCTATGTGACCGGTAGCATATGGCGGGAGTCTGTGGTGGGACCACCTCAGTACTAACACCTGCCTGGATCACTGCTAATCAAAGCCTCTTAAGAGTGCCAACAGAAAAGGGACAGAAGCATTGCTATATTATGGAGTCAGAGACACTAATAAGATACAACCCAAGATATTACAAATGTTTAAAAATAAAAAGGCTGAACTGTAATCATTTACATAAGTATAATTAGAAAACCTATTTCTATTTTGTATGGTTGTTTGCTGAGGTATAGCTGGAGTTTCTGTTCTACCTGGTCCCACAGCCATTTAGTTCCAAATAAACACACAGAGACTTATATTATTAAACTGCTTGGCTGAAGGCTTAGGCTTCTTATTGACTAGCTCTCTCTTAATTATTAACCCACTTCTATATAATCAAGGTATTTCCATGTGGATTTATCTTACTGGAGAATCTTGCTCCTTCAGCAACAACATGGCATCTGCTCTGGAGGCTTCTCTCTGCATCCTCTCCCCAGCATTCCCCTATACTTCATGCCTGGCTACTGGCCAATCAGTGTTTTATTCATCAACCAATAAGAGAAACATCACTGTGAGGGGATGTCTCATGTACTTTCTTGTGGGATAGCTTCTCTTATTTATTGATTTATAAGCCATGGGAAATTGAGTTATATTTTTAATACTCATTTTATATACATCTCCAAGTTTGAAGAAATATTAGTTTAGATAATTGAAGTATCATTAATGTTAGTTACATTGTTTTGGCATGTTACATCCTTAGAATAACATAGATAGTTAAAGAAAGCATTAATATTTTATTGTACAAACTGGCAATAATTATTTATTATACTTGAAACGTGTACTCAGTGATTAAAAGACTCTGTAATGCTTGACAAGTGAGTGATGTTTAAGGAGAAACTAGTTTAAATTCAGTAACACATAAAGCAGGTAGGATCAAGTTATGCTGTTTGATAGACAGAAAGTACACAGTCTGTAGTAAAAACTCCTCCAAATAAGGCTCTGGGGATATATTGTCTTGATGATGTAAGTGCTACTACCTTAACTAGTTCACATCTGAGGTCACCGTGTGAGCCTCAAAAGGATGAATTTTTAAAGTATTCTTTGCACTCTGCTTGGTGTGTATTTTATTCCCCAGGCTGTCATATATAGTAATAGCTGGTGCTCAATTAATTTTGAAGTTGTACCTTTTATTTGGAAAGCACATTACAGAGACGTATTTCATGACAAGCTATAAAATTGAAACTACCATGTAAAATGAATTTATCTTAGGAAAGCTATTAAAGCAGAGGTCTTTGCATACTGTCACATCATCTAAAAGAAGCCATTTGGTGTCTTGTCATTATTCCCAACATGGCTAGTAGATGCACCTGGTTTGCAACTTGAACTAGCTTTGAATTAATGTTCATTATTCCCTTAATTTAATTTTATCTAAAGCCATTGCACTGTCATTTCCCACTACCCCAACTAAAGCTGTGTAGCACATGATGAAAGAGATGGTTTCAAATACACATACTCATCCTCTGAAACAACTCATATTAGAGCATTGGGTCCCCATAAAATCCATCTGAGACAAATTAATATAGACTCACCACTTGTCACATTGAGATTAGGTGGGAAAGCTTCCATAGCGTCTTTCCACCCTGTATATGGAAGCCAGCAAGGGACAGTTGTGTAAATACCTGCATTTCTTCTTTCCCGGTATTGTTACTTTTAAGGCATTTTTTACATTCTGTAATTTAGCTATTTCACTTTGTGTTTTCTCCTAATAGAATGTATTACTGGGTTATACTATAAGTTATTCACTTCTACATTCCTTTGATTAGCTCTTTCACACACCTGTGTGCATATAATGGAAACTATGTTTGATCCACATATGACATTTTGTGTTTCTCTGTAGTCTTTGAAAACTTTTAAATGTCAATATATGTATTAGGAAAATGGAAAGACTTTTTAAATGTGTTGCCTCACATTTTATTCCTGTATTTTGTGAATTACACTGTAATGTACTCTCAAGAATGACCTTCCAGGTAAATCTAACATTCACTCTGTGTGAGTAATCCTTTTGGCCTGTTTATATCAGTATGCCTTTATTTTTGCCCACTGAGGCACTTCTGAAAAAGCCAGGGCTCCTGGTTCCCTCTGTTATACTGCTTTGTTGTATGGGTGGTGATGAAGGCATAAATTACTCCTCTACTTAAAACCCAACATTCAACCATTTTTGTAGAAGCTACATGTTCTGGATATCAGTATTTGGATTTAGACAGGATTTTCTGTAAGAACTCTTTAATATCAAATCTACCTCGTTGGAAAATGTGATTTGTCTTGAACACTTACTGGGCCCTTATAACTTCTTCAAATATTCGTATGCTTATACTTTGCTGTCCCATGCAGTCATTGCCTCAGCACAGAATTACAGTACTGTAACGGATAATTTGCTCACCCAGTGTCAGACATGGTGCAGAATGGGTGCCTGTTGAGAACATCCATGTCCTCCTTTCAGTTTCTTTGCAAGTGGGTGAAAGGTAGGCTAAGACACTGCTGTCTTATCATCCTGAGAAACTGAGGCTTTTTAAATGTCTTTTTTATTTTTAAATTAAAATTAGAAACAATGTTGCTCCACATGTCAATCCAAGGTCCCTCTCCCTCTCCTCCTCCCACTAACCTCCCCCCTCCTGCAATCCCCATTGCTTTCCCCAGGGAGGGTGCGGCCCTCCATGGGGAGGGGTGTCCATAGTCTGTCATTTCATCCAGGGCAGGGCCTAGGCCCTCCCCCAAGAGTCCAGGCTGAGAGAGCATCTCTCATTGTGGAATGGGCACCCAAAGTTCATTTGTATGCTAGGGATAAATATTGATCTATACCCAAGGCCTCATAGATTGCCTAGGCCTTTTGATGATTCCTGTAACAGTTTAGAAGTAGAAATCCTTTTTGGAGATGGTTGTTCTGAAGACATTTAAGAAAATATACATGGAATGGCCAGTCTTGTTTTCATGAACAACATTAAGTATTATCTATACTATCTCAACTGTTAGCCAACCCTGTTGTCTAGCTGAAAGGGTTGTCAATTAGAACATTTAAAATGTTGGCCAAAATAAACACTTCCACTTACCAGATTCAAGATTGCCATCAAAGATGAACTTAGAATATTGAAGATAGGATTTATTGCAGACTTTTAAAGAATGTTATAGACTTCTTTTCTTTAGGTAAATACGATTATCTGTTTTTTACAAAGGCTAGAATGTGTTCTGTCCTGATTCACTAAACATGAAAGTTATGATTCAAAGAGCCTGGGTCCCATCTGCTCTAAGTCAGTGGCCCTCAAGAGTCATTAAAATTATCTTTTCAAAATT